TTAATATTATAAAAGGGTCGGGTTAATGGGTCGGGTATTCGTTGATTCGGTGGATACGGATATGGATTCGACTATTCAAGACCCTGAGGGTTATTGGAGCGGGGCGGGTCATGTTTTTATTTTTTTAAACGGGTTTGGATCGATGGTGATTCGCTCCAAGCCAGCCCCATTGACAGGTCTACTCGCAGGCGAACTCACCAGAAGGGACCGAAGGCGAGGGTTCGGTTCAGCAGATCGGATCAGCAGCTTCGGTTCGGTCCTCCTAGTTCGGTTCTTAAGGCTGTTCGGTCCATGTGGCTTCTTAGGGTTTCGCTTCTTAGGGGTTTCGGTTCCTTAAGGGAGGTTCGGTTCCTAAGAGGGTTCGGCTCCTTAAGAGGGCTCTGCTCCTTAAGGCTGTTTTTCGCGTAAACTTCCGTTTTCGAGCGGTTTTCAACTAAATTAAGGGTCGGGATGCCCCGAGTGATTATAAAAAGTTGAGAGAGATTTCACACACTTGGAGAGATTTCTCATACAGAGAGAGATTTCGGAGAGATTTCACATACTTAGAGAGATTTGGGAGAGATTTCACATACTTAGAGAGATTTGGGAGAGATTTCACATACTTGGAGAGATTTCTCATACTTGGAGAGATTTGGGAGAGATTTCACATACTTAGAGAGATTTGGGAGAGATTTCACATACTTAGAGAGATTTTGGAGAGACATAGTGAAAGAGGTTGAGAGAGACTTCGTTTGCGACCTGTTTAAGTGTTTGGCTTCGTAACGCAAGGTTCTTACACTCTATTAAGCCTCGTTATGATTGTTATATGCCCCCGAGGGTTAAGGAATAATGTTTTATCGAATATTTCATCACTTTGCCCTGATTAGGGTTTAGAATTTCCGAACACGTGAAAACTCTAAGTGATACTTTGTATTAAGATTGCGAGTAGTACAATAAGAATCATAATGGAAACCCTAATATACAAGGGTTAGATGAGTTGACCGGTTTGACTTGTTGACTTTGGTTGACTTTGACTTGACCAAAAATTGACGGTTGTCACAATAATGATTGTGTACATTGAAATGGAATTAATGATTCCTGGGACCACATATTGGTAAAAAGTTGGACCACATATTGGAATGGAATTAATAAGATACATTATCAAACGATACATTACCAAACAAGTTATCAAAAGACACATTACCAAACCACATATATTTACCAAAGTGGGACCACATACATTACATGCCAATAGAATATTTAAAAAAGACACATACATTACACCTAACCACATGTGCCTTCATCAGTTTTTGGCTTAAATACAAACTAGTTATCAAAAGATGTGCCCAACAAAAGATTCCCTACCAAAAGCTGTCCTTCACAAAAGCTACCAAAAGTTGTCCTTTACAAAAGCTACCAAAAGACGCCCTTCACAAAAGATGTCCCCAACACTACTCCTAGAGTGTGAGAGGATTTTAAAGACTTCCCCCTGTATCATCCTTGGTCACCACTTTCCTCCTCAACTTAAGTTTTGTGTTCCTCTGAGAAGGACCACACTTTCTCCTTTTCAAAGTTGGAGCAACCACATGCTGATTTCCAGGGATTCACCACTTGTTCATCAACCACTTGTTCATCATCCACCTATAAATCTTCCTCTGAATCACCTCCAACGTCTTCCTCTGAATCACCTCCAACCTCCTCCTCTAAATCAACTCCAACATCCTCAGCAGCCCCATGGCCTTGTCCCTGTCCCTGTCCTCTACCCTGTCCCTCACCCTCAAATAGCTCATGGTAATCAAAGAGATCTGAATCATCTACTGCATGAACCTGATTGATAGGACATTTCCTCTTGTTATGACCTGGTTGGGAACATAAACTACATTTAGAAGTGGTCCTAACTTTGCTAACAGTGTGTCTGTCACTTCTTTATGAAATGCATTTCTTCCTGTTCATATTTGGTCTCCCAGGCATTCTTCTACGCTTTGGTGGTAAGATGGTATTCATATCATTTGCTGGCCACATTTCATATCCATTTATTGGCTTAACATTATACATGTAGCAGCTTCCAAACATTTGTGTTGTGTACCAAATTGCTACATACTCCTCTATATTCCCATTCAAGCACAAGATTGCAGAAATAGCATGGACACATGGTATACCTGTCAGCTGCCATGATCTGCATCCACAGGTTCTTTTATGTAAGTCAATTGCATACACCTCATTCAACCACCTACTCTCATATTGATGAAAACCACTTGGAGTTACTCCCCAAAACCTGTTATGAAATGTAACATATAAGTTAGTATTGATATATATATATATATATATATATATGTATTATGTATAAATATAGTTATATACCTATGTATTTTCTTCATGTCCTCAATCTTCCTTTTAATTGAGGGACAAATCTCCAAGTTCCACTTCAGGCCCTTCCTTTTCTGAGTAACATTCTTTCCATGACATACACTCTAATATCTTCCAACATTGCTATGATTGGTTTTTTTCTAGCTTCCACAATGGCTGCAAATGACTCTGATATACAATTTTCAATGGCATCACTACCACTATCTTCCCTAAAAAATGCCCTAGACCATGTGTTTGGTTTTTTTTCCATCGGGTGTTCATAGGCATTTATGTCAATCAATTTGATCTCCTTCATGATATCTTCAAATTTTGTGGTTGTTGTGGCCTTGGCAGCACCCCAGAAAAGTTTCATGTATTCAGCTCCTGAGAATTTTCTCTTGAAGTTGGCATAGACATGCCTAGCACATTATCTATGCTCACATTCTGGCACTCTTTCCTTAACTGCTTCAGTCAGTCCCTATTCAATCATATTTTAATGTCATTATAAAGTAAAAATAAAATATAAATACTATTATTAAAAAACAGTTGACTACCTTGTGTTGATCAGAGATGGTGGTTAGTCCTCTGCCTTGTCCCATATCAATGTCTTCAAGCAATAGATCAGAAAAAACCTTTTCAAATTTGCCTTTTTTTCAACTACTACAATAGCCCATGCTAGAGGATACATTTGGTTATTAGCATCCCTACCAACAGCTAAAAGTACCTCACCTCTACAAAGTCCCTTTAAAAAAACATCCATCTACACCAATCACTCTTCAACGCCCCTCAATCCAACCATCCTTCACAGCCTTCAAGCAAATATAAATCTTTGAAAAATGGACTGTAGAATCAGGCATGATATCCACATCCAATTTCACTATGGAACCTGGATTAGTCCTCAATAGCTCCAAGCCATAACTCCTAAGCTTTTCATAGTGTGCCACCAAACTCCCTTCTATCTCATCCATTGCAAAAATTTTGGCATTTCTACACTGACCAAAACTAACTTTTAGATTAAAATCTCTAAGGACTGCTGCTGCCATTTTCCTGTAACTTATTCTTGGATTATCTATTATGGTTTCCATTAACTGTTTTACAATCCAACTATATGTGACCATTGCACCTAAATTAAAGGCCCAACAACAGTTGTGTTCAGAGATTAAGGACTTAATCTGAAATGATCTTTCTTTACTCATCCAAGTTGCCCACAACCTAAAAAGGCATTTAGACTTCTCTTCACCTTTACAACATCTAACTAATAATCTAGTTGAATCATTTTTTTCATACCACATTTTATACCCATTAACATAATTGCTTAACAAATGCTTAAGTTCATAACGATCATAGAATTTCATACCTAAGATTGGAACCATTGTATCCTATTTTTTGTTAGGATCATGAAGTGGATACTTATGAAGATCTTTCTTGATATCTTTCTTATCATCTACAACTCTTGGAGGCCTGAAAAATTTTCTTCTAATGAAAGGATCATCAGATGGCTGTATTTGTATCACTTCATCATTAGGTTCATGCTCCACAAACTCATTATCTGAAAGCTCAGAGTCTACAGCATCATCAACATCCGTATTACCATCTATCGATCCTTCTTCAGCTATCTCTTCTTCAATCCACTCCATAACTGTCTCCTGATTGTGATCAATGTACAAATTGATCATACCCCCATTCTCATATCCAACATCAAGGAAACGAACATAATCATTTTCATCTTCCAAGGCTCTTAACCCATCTCTCAGTGAACGTTGTGGAAGACAATAGTACACATTGATTCTTCCATCATTGTCCAACTTCTTCACATACAAGATGAACTCCATAACACTCATGCTTCTGAAATCGACATTGCTAACAACCATTTTTACTGGATTGAAATACACAATCGGTTTGGGGACAAAACAACCTGTATGATTTACTTCGATTGTCAAGTTGGAATCCATTGTGGTGATTCTGTGGAAACGATGAACGAACGAAGGAGAAGGAAATGAACCCTTGATTTTGGGGGAAATAACGAACGGTAAGGGCACATATATTCCCATAAATCTTTTAACCGGCTAACCTACAATACCCGGTAAAATGGTATTTTTTTTCACTAAAAAAAGAATAATTGTGTTTTTTGTACGTTTTTAAAACATTATTACCTTTTTAAGTGAATTTGTGAATAATGGTGTTTTTTGTACGTTTACAAAATATATAATGTGAATTTGTGACATAAAATGTGTATGAACACACAAATTACCAAAGATAATTTCGTTAGTTATAGTAATACATTCCACCTTGTTTATCTCATCAATATATGTATTTTATAGTCATTTTATAAGTTATTAGTTTATAACCCATGAAAACCACGGTTACAAAATTAATTAAGTTTTCATAGTAAAACTCAAAATTATTAATCAATTATTTTAAATAAATTATTCTAAATAGATTATTAATTAAGAGATATTTTTTAGTTATATAAAATTATAGTCATTGATTTAAATAAATACATGAAATTATATCATCTTATAATCTGTATTAATTTAATGTAATTAGAATGAAAAATTTTAAAATTTGAAATTTGAAATGATGAATCAATATGTTGACACGTGACATGACATTAATTACGATGCCTAATAGGGTGACACATGGTAAAAAGAATAATAAACTTATTCTTTTATTAAAATACGAATAAGAGATGAGTTTATACAGAGTTATTTTGTTTTAATATTTTTTTTTTGAACCGAAAATACACACATTCTCTCTCTATATATTATTCATAAACTGCCCTTTTACATTTTATAAGTCGTGAGAAAATCAAAATTAAACTACTTTTCAATTGAACATGAAAACATATATGATATATATTCTTGAGTTTCCAAAAATGTAAGTAGATAGAAAGACTTGGTTTGCATTTTTTTTTTAGAAAATGTATTAAGACATGAAATATAACCATAACCGGAAAAGGCATTAATTTTATTTGTTTATGTTGTTTTGTAGGTCTCATGTATCTTTTAATTATTACAAAAACTAGTTGTGAGACTCGTATATTACATAAGTTTATTTAAAAAATAAATAAATATGAAGTTCTAAGTATTTGAAAAGTTTGAATTTATAAAAAGAAAATGAGAAAATATTGAATTATTAAAGTTGAAGTGTGTTTTTTTTTTCTCTTTTAAATTTAAACAAATAATTTAGATAAATAAACAAAGAAAACTAATGGGATTTTAATTTTGAAATTTTGAGATTAGAAGGTAAGTTCTTTAATGAACTTGATATCCATTTATTTTTAGATTTATTGCAATTATTACGTTTAAATAGTATGTAGAATTAATAAAATGGAAAAAACTATAAAATAATATGTGGAAAAAAATTAATTTAAAATAATCACCAATTGACATGTGGCGAAATGAATGAGAGTTTGACATGTGACAAAAAGATCATTATTTACTAGGTTATAGCCCGTGAAAACCACGGTTACAAAAATAATTAAATTTTTATAGTAAACTCATAACTATTAATTAATTATTTTCAATAAATTATTAATTAAACATGATTTTGTAAGATTTTTCAATATAGAAACACAATTAATTATCGACAATCATAACCGAAACTTATTCAATTTAAATTTCTCTTAAAAATCAGAAATCAAATAAATAATTGTCTAACTTATTATCGACATCAATACTTTTTAAAAAAATAAAAAATGATGAGAAAATGTCAAGTGTCATTTTTATAGAGCATTTGAAAAGAAAACATAAATTATGAGAAAAGAAAACATAAATTATGAGAAAATAACAAGTGACACTAATAATTATTTTTTATTAGTATAGGAAGATTAGAGTAGATAATAGTGACAATGACAATTCTTTTAACATATCTATAAAAAAAAGAAAATAATAATAATATAATACCTTCTTCGTTATTTTCTAAGATACGTGTTTGGAAAAAAAAAAAGAACAATCATGCGTGTATATATGTTCACAACATCATTTCTATGCAATTATAATCAAATCAATTAACAAAAAGTTTTATTTAAACAGTTAAAATAACATTATTTTATTTAATATAGTGAAATAACAAGGATTTTAAGCCAACCCCAGCCAATGTGAAATAACATAATATTTGATTGATTTTTTCAGAAACCAACTTTATAGTTAAAAAAAAATCTATACTGGATAAGAATCTTGTTTGCTTATCAATATATGATATGATATCATATCAAAATTATATAAATCTGTTTGTTACAATTCAACTTCCATTGATCTATATATTCAACAAAGTTTATAACCAAACCCTACTTAAAACATTACTTTGTAACATATATCCATAAGTAATTTATTTTTATATTTATTATTCAATTATATTATATAAAATTCAATTATTGTAAAAGATTTGTTCATAAAAAAATGCCCCTTTCCTTTCCTTTCATAGTAGGGATTATGTTTGTGAAATAAAACAAAAGTAATAAGGTAAAATGCCTCTTTCCTTTCATAGTAGGGAATTCCAACTTGAAGGAAAGTGTTTCCGCTACTTGATGAAAAGTTTTTTCATTCAGGATTCCAATTTCATTTTATAAAATTGAACCAAACACTGAAATGTGATGGAATTGGATTCCTTTACCTCGAATTCCATTCCATTCCAACGAAGTAAACGCATAATAATGTAATACAAAAAACTTGATTTTGAATCCAAAAGAGTCGGTTTATGACTAGTTTCCAATTCATATTAGTAACCAATAATAAAACCATATAATAAAAAAATGTCTCCCATTCTAGGTATAGTTGTATTATAAATAGTGGGGTTTAACATGTTTAATGCCAACAAGAGAGCCTATGTGGCTCCAGCATAAACATTTCAATTTTTATTATTTAGTGACATTATGGCAATAAAGTATTTGAAATTTGCTTCTTCAGTAGTTATACATGTTCTAATCGGTCCAATAAAGTTCTAGAAATCAAGCTCGTCAAATTTTGTCACAATGTCCATGCCAAGGTGGCATCTAGCTTGGGTTTTTATTTAGATTATGTATCTTATTAATATTTAATTTATAATTTATAAACACATCATCACCACGCAACAAGGAAAATCAAACGTATCCATATTTTCATAGGGTTCGATTTTGTTTATATACATTTTATTACAACTTAAGCACATTAAATTCCATCAACACGCATAAAAGACATCGATAGGACTTCTTTTGTCTCTTTTAATTCTGATTCAACAAATAAGACATGATGGATGGCTGCAAGAAAAAGTTATCATCTCATTTCAACAAGGGCGACCACAAAATGAAAGAGAAAAAAAAACAAATTAAAACATTGGGTTTTTAAAGATATCCATCTAATAGGGTTTTAGTCGACCGCAAGCAAAATTACAAAACTACCCTTCCACGGGTTTAATCTTCTTAACCAAACCAAACCATGATAATCTAAAGAATTGCGACATCTAGGTAATCTCCAATCTGCAAATTAGGTTACTCGTTAGAAATTCATAATTCATTAACACTGCGTGTGTTTGTTACGTTACACTGGATTGAACAAACTTTCTAGGGTTATTTTCGATTACACAGATGAGGAGGGCATTCACGTCTTTTTGTATAGATGAGAAATCAAGAGTGAGTCCTTGTCCCATCTTTTTGAGTCGGGACAAGAATCTATACTCCCATCGACATCAGTCTGAGTCTGAGTCCAATGCACACAGTATAATGAGAAGGTGTATTTCCTTACCTCAAAGCTAAGGCTGCCGAGGGCCTTGCTGCCATCGTCTGGTCGTCTTGCATTCGGATAAGACAAGGTTTTCCCAACCTACAACAAATTTGTTTTCTTTGGTGATAAATGTCAAAAATGTAAGGTGATGTTTTTTACTATTGTAAAAAACTAAAAGGGTTACCTCTTTGACTGTAAAATGACCAGTTTTGGTAGGATATACAAAAGCAAATGACAGCATTGCATCTCTTCTTCTAGCTTCTGGTGCTACCTCCTTTACCTGAAAACCACAACAACAAAAAATCAACACAACAATTTTCAATTCCATCACATTCCATTCCATTGTATTGTATTGTATGTACCAGATCAGTTAGCTCACGAAGTGTAGCATCCATCCATGTGTATATCTGGACTTTATCTTTAGGTTCCTTACCTCTCACTGCAAAGTCTGCCTGGTTGTGATGACCACCAATCTGTTTCAATTTTCAAAATCAACAATACTTACAACTAAATGCACCAATAATTTATTTTTAGGGGATATAAAAATAATATTCCAGCATCTCAAATGGGATTCTTACCTTGGTAAAAACTCGAAGTAGCAATGGACAAGTCTGCATGTCAAAGAAAGGACTTTATCAATAAAATGTCAGTCACACAAACGGTTTATTATATTGTATAAACTATAACTATTGTTTGGCTTATGAAACATATGAGGATAAAAAACTTGGTACTAATTTACTAATTCATTTTCATAGAATTACTTTCCTAAGAGATCAGATGCTTGACTTGAATTAGTTGAATGTATGCAGCTCATGAGCTCAATTACAGATTTACAGCTTCCCTTGTTCATTAAATTGTAGATGCTTTGAGCATAAGAACAAGTTCAAGTAGAAAATCTGAGCTTATAAAATATGTTCAAACACAGTTACACAACAGGATTTAAGAGTAGCTAAGATAACTGAGAGCCAGTTATATGATCATTTCTGCAATTCAAGTCCTACCAAAGAAATACAGAACAAGTCTCAAAGTGCACATAACGACCCAATCTCCTGAAGTATTGGTGTCAAAACTGCAAAATTTCTACTCAATTGCCAATATGGTATCAAAACTGTCTCTATGAATCTGTGGTTCTTTATGAATTGACGCGCATTGATGACGATGACGATTGCTTTTTCTTACATTGTTGAGAGGCTATTATTGTTTCTCTCCATGTAGATTCAAATATTCAGACCGAAGAGTATCCCTAGTTTCACGTTCTGTTTGTGAAATATAATCACCAGAACTTAAATTTTACGTTAGCAATACATCAAGTCATTTACCAAACGTTTATCCAAGCAGACAGAAAGCATTAAAGTCCTCAGAAATATAGCATATTTCCAAACCCTAGAAAAGCTTCAGACAAACAATAGAACTTATACACGTTAACATTCACCAATTAAAACCTCACACACGCGATAAGACACAAAGGAATGTCGATATGAAGATAAGCGGAGAGAGAGAGAGAGAGAGAGAGAGAGAGAGAGCAAAACACAACCTTTTCGCGGTCGACTGGTTCAAATCGAGGTCCGGGTTTACCATGAACAGGAGGACCAGGAGGTCCTCTTGCAGACGGCGGAAATGGCCTTCCTCCTCCTCTTCTTTGCCCTTCTCCGACTCGTGCTGCCATTGATGACAATTTTACTACCTCTGCAAACTATCGTTCACCTTTTCTCTCTAGAAGCCAAAAATCAAATTTCTATTTGCACTCTTATATATATATATATATATATATATATATATATATATATATATATATATATATATATATATATATATATATATATATATATATATATATATATATATATATATATATATTAAAATTGTTGAGAAAAGGAACAATTAATTTGCCACATTTTGTCCCTCTCTTGAATTACATTTCCCGTCCCTCTATATTGCTTTGTGTGTCACTTCTTTTATTCCTTCCCTATCTTCTATTCGACGCATTCTTGATTGAACAAAAACCACCTCATCTCTTTCTTATTCTCACTACTCCGTCTGATGGAGGGCTTTTCCCGGATTCGTTTCTAGCTTTCGCTCCATCTCCACCTTCTACGTTTTCTAATATGTGTCTTCAAAAAAGAGTCGATTTTCCGTCGGTGACAGCAAATCAGACCCTCTTCATTGTCAATCCCATTCTCAATCTTTCAACTTCTACCCAGATGAACGATTAAAATACAGAAAAGGTGCTATCGTAGCAGAGAAAATGGTCCTTCGTGTTCAAGAAGGCGATGTTACCGTCACCCGCTTCGTTATCACAGTTCTTGAGATTTCTCATGTGTTCTCCATATTCTACTTTTGAAGTTCTACCTACCGTCAACCAAGCCTTCGAAGGTCGATTACAAGTCGCCGCCTCCGTTTTCAGGTATTTTTTTTCTCATATTCTTCTTCAGTTTTCGTTTAGGCTTTACCCATTTTGTGTAGATCACCCCATCAAAGGTTCGTTTGTTGGTTTCCGATTTGGCTGTTGGCGATCGGTATTCAGTGGTTATCGGCTGGTTTGGAGACAATTTCTTTTGTTTCCATGTGTTGTTGCCTCCTGTGTACAGAGATGCTTACAAATATCCACCACCTCCCTTGATTTACTCTCTCACCATCGTTTACACAACCTTCATCGACAGAAAGATCGAGTGCAACAACAAATAGAAGACAACAGGATGGAGAGGAAGACCACACAGCTCCAATGGACGTGCAGGTAACCGCTTTCACTAGCATCGACAACATAATGGAAGGAAGGTATCACGAAAGTGCTCATCGCCCTTCCGCAACCTCCGTGCTCCCTTCTTGCGATCAATTTTTTTTTGAAAACTTGACGAAATCGTAATCAATTTCTTACCCCCAGGCAGAAACCCTAGAATTCCACGAATGAAAGTAGGATCGGCCTGTATTGGTCAGTTGCGGCTGAGTTGGCAAGGGTTTACCGGAGCAGTAGACATTGATTTTCATATTTTGGAAGCTATAGTTAAGTTCAAGGTAAAAATGATTTGGGGGCTTTCAATTTTTGCTACAATCTGATTTCATAAGGACCTAGCATCTAATGTGTTCGATTTTACTTGCATTTTTTGGGATTGTTATTTGTGCAGGTACTGTGAACTCAAGTTCTAGGTCAAAGGGCTTTCTTCATTACATTTTCATACTGGTTTCTATCCTCCTCAAAGTAGATAGTGCAAAGAACAATCTCAACCTCTTCGAAATTCATTAGATGTAAGTATAATTTTATTTTTTTTTGGAATCCATGTTAGAAGTTATATTGTAATTTGGTTTTGTTAAATTTGTCGATTTCATGGTGTTTGATTCTCAAATAACCTGTTTACACTTTATCTATTACAATTTTAGATTGTTAGTCTTAAAATTATTCTGAAATTTGGTTATGCTTTTGCTTATTGAAAAGATTTTATTAATGTTATTTTGCACTGATACAATGGTAAATTACTAAATTGGTGATTATAAGGGATTCGATTTGAAGTCCGATTCCGATTCCGATATTGTTTGATATAAATTTTGTGTTTGGTTAACACTTTTTATATATACAAATTTACAACTAGATCATATTGAATATTATTATATTAAAAGTAATCAAATATGCTTATGAACATGTTTGCGGGACTTGAAACTGGTGGCTTCACAATACAAATGGTAATTAAAATATTTACTTATTATTTACTATTAAAACCATCCTTCATATCTCACAAATTGAATTGGTAAGACTGTCATTAGAAAAATTTGAAGAAACTGATTAAGCACACCACGTGTTCGATAAAATGCATAGTTGAAATTTGGGTATTTGTAAAAAGTTTTATCTATACAATTGAATCAATGCAGCGGTCCGATTGCTAAAAAGTTCCTCCTATGTTTCTTTCATTTTCTGGTGTGATTTATTTTGAACGAAAATGTTATAAGTGTCCCGTATATGTAGTTTATGACTGCATAGAAGATCTTCTGAATGTGTATGTTTAATTTTAACAGTTTTTTATCAAAGCAAACACAACCAATCACTAAATAGTGATTTTAACAGTTTTTTTCCAAAATGCCCATGCATATTGTTTTTTTGATAAAAAAAATAACAACTGTAACAGTTTTGACCAAAATGCCACTACATACTGTTCTTTTAGTAAAAAAAACTGTGATTATAACATTTTTTGTCCAAAATGCCCTTGAATACTGTTTTTTTGATAAAAAAATTATTTTAACACTTTTGACCGAACTGCCCCTACATAGTCTTCTTTTGTTAAAAAATAGTTATTTTAAGAGTTTTTGATGGGAATGCCCTTACATACATTTACTTTTTATTAAAAAATAATGATTTTAACATTATTTGTTCAAATTGCCCCTATATAATGTTTTTTGGGTAAAAAATTAATGATTTTATACTTTTTGACCAAACTGCCCCTCCATACAGTTTTTTTGGTAAAAGTTAGTGATTTTAACAGTTTATCCATTAGTGCAAATCTAATCTTCTATATCAATTGATCAATGGACTGGTACTTTTTGTTTAGTTTAATATTATTACAAGGTTTCATGGAAGTTGTTAATCTCTTTTTGATTGGCACCTGGATACCATACATGTGACTACTAAATTAATATTATACTAGATACCATAGATGTGACTATATATAATAAAAAAATGAATGAAAGTAAGTTGCTATTTTTTTTTCTAATAAGTCATTTTAAGTTGTATAAAAAACTGTTGAAAGTTTGGTCTCTGTTGATGCCAGCATCCAATCTTATTTTTGATGGTGTTGAGAGGCGAAAGAGTAATCGAGGTTTATTTTTATTTATTTTTGGTTTTTACTTGCTTCCTCGAGATTGGGCTACTAGCCCACTATCTTGGAATTGCAATGTATCTTTTCGTCCAATAAAATCTTTTAACTTAATATTTTAATATGCGATTAATGTATATTTCAGAAGTTTTAGTTTTTCGATTTGCACTTCTTTTAAGAGGATGGAATTGAAATTAATGCTTCTGCAAGCACATCCGAATGTTGAAATAAATGAAATCTGGAACTCAAATTTGTTTGTTCAAAGGTGAGGATGATACGGAAATATATAAAACTGAATTCGCCAATTTTTATATACATTAATTAATGGTTTCTTTTATTACTTTTTTTAGTAACAACCAGGAGATGTGGTGGGGTCGCCAATACACACGACTGAGTGTGACTCTGGAATGAATGATTCCGATGTTGGTATGAAAGAATAAGCAACTGCTTCTGACGACAAAGCAGCAGATGGGATTGACCTTAAAAATGATAAAAAGACAAATTTATGAATCTGTTCCCAGTACACTTCACTGGAAGAGGAGGACTTGGAGAATGCCAAATTTATTTCCTACCTTTGACGCTGAATATGATTTAACAAAATTAGATCTAGGGAAACCAGCAGGGGAGCATGTTCTTGCTCAGCTGAAAATACATTGTTATTCAAACATTTTTTCCTCCCGAATAAACAATCAACCATGTAGTGCATGTAAACCCCCTTTGGAAATGGTTTATTCAAAATCTGACCCCTGCAACGCGGGGGCACATTTCTAGTTTGCATAATGATTTAATTTTTATAAGAAATTAAATTAATCAAATACCTAATCCCACGATATTATGTATATTGGTTTAAAAGGTCATTTATATTTTATTTGTATATGTATTTTATTAATTTATTTATTTATATCTTTGTTTTCTAAGGGTAGGAACTTAATGTTTACCGGTTAAATTGAGATTTTTACCTATTTTAATAGGTTTTTGTGCCATGTCACCTGCCTAGTAGGATACTAAGTCAACACTGAGTCCACAATAAGTTCATGTATGCAAGGTTTGTTTATTGAGTTGCATTTACTTCCCAACCACTCATTAACACTTAGCCTCCTAAGTTATATGTGGGGGTAGGACAATATAAAATGAAGACAATCACATGTAGGGATTAAACAAAAGAAACCCTAAAAGTTATTTACCTTTTTTAGCCAAACAATCTGACAAGAAACGAAAATATCGTCATGTCGGCTCCACCACCCTCCCCCGACTCAATAATTCTCGAGACTGTCTTACCTACAACGATATACACTCCATCTTCTGTGGTATGAAGAAACAATTCTTAAGTACCAAAGCGAAATGGAAAGGCTAAAGGAGCAGTTGGGACATGATTTCATCATATCTATGGTGTACCACATCAATCTCCAGCACAAGATGGATGATCACGACAAGAAATTTCAAGTTTTTGGTATGTTGGTGGGTGGTATGATGGTGGCTATGTTGGCGATGATGGTGGTTATGATTCACTTCATTTTGAAGATAGGATGATGTTTACGGGGGCGATTATGAAGCTAATATACATATAAGTATTTTTTTTAAGTGGTAGTAGTTGTGGATAAATCAGTCATGTGTTGATGACAGACATCTTTTGTGAAGGGTATGGTTCCATATTTTGTAACCCAAGTGTTAATGATAAATGAAGAAGACCTGATGAAATCAAACAATTTTGTATCTAAAAAGTATGTTGTTATTGTTTATATGTTTTGTTGAAATCAGATTAGAACTCTATTGCTTGTTTCATGTTTTGGTGTTAGTGACCCCCATGTGCCTTGCACACTGGGGGTCTTTTTGTCTTTTCCACCTACTGAAATCAATAAAAGAGTTATCTCCTTACTTCACTCTCTCACTTGCGTCTCCTTTTCCTTCATGAAGTGTCGACTGGCGGCCAACAAAATTGAGAAGA